TCCACTTCCTCCATCCTTCCCCCAGACACCGCACACATACTCCCTTCTTTGGACAACTCTCAAGAGAAAGTACAGACAGTCTGGAGAACAAATCTTCCTTCATGCAGATTACATTCTCCTATAAACACCTCAACGACTAGTATATAACCTCCAGCAAGAACGCTGCCTAATCTCTGGCAACAAAATAAACATATTGAAGCCAGAAGCTCTGATAAGGGGATTCTCAAGAATCTGGAATCTTGGGTGCTGTAAATGGAAGAATGACTGTTGCCAATATTTTTGAAAAACGGCGTACCTGAAGAAAGAAACTTTCTTTAATAATACTGAAATTGCTGTTTTCTCCTGCCTCTATCACAGCTGCAAAGAAAAGCGCAAAGGAAATCTTCTGTGCAGACTCCTGTACCTATCCTTGAACTTTTCTGAAAAGCCACTCCTAGCTTTGTTCCTGTTCATGGGACCGTGAAATCTCTGAGGTATTAGCTTTTAGAAATATTGAGATACCACGACATGTAGGAACTTAGCAAGAAGAGGAGCCAGGGAAGCTGCTCTCTAAAGCTTCCTCAAATATTCTTAAGAACAGTACCTAAATAGGATGAATCTCACTAAAGAATGAATGATTTATGACCACACCTTAAAAAGAGATGTTTAGCTTGAAGGATGCACTCAGTGTTTTCTGAAGTGCTGCTTGATACTGATACCTTCCTTTGTATCATTGCCATTAACATGTATTGTAAGTTCTGGAATATTTCTCCCCTCTTATTTTTGCTCTGAGTCATTAGTGTGCCTATGGCTTTGTTAACAGAAAGGATTTTTGTGTATGTTTTCTGAAATAAAACACTAGCTTATCAGCAAGCGTAGTACTGAATAGCAAACACGGGAAGGATTCTTTGCAAAACCTCTTAAGAGGATGCACAGATAAAGAGAACGTAATTTTTTTTTCAATTTAAGTTTGTTAGCCTGCAATGCAATAGGGACTCCATATTAAGAAGCCACCAGTAGAACCCCTGCCCCACTATCTTAAATAGCCATGGCTGAAAATACCATTCCTCTTGGCCCTGTATTTCCTGCTACCCTTACCCCTTCCCAGTAAATCCCTGTAACAAGTTTGGGATGGATCTCCAGACCCTTCTTTATTTCTCTTTCACAGTGGTACATAAAGGAGATTGTCTTCCAGCTGTCCCTGCAGACATCCGGGCTTCTTTTCTTTTGGGGGGGGGAAGGAGTAGGAAACAAGGAAAGAAATTCATTATGACATTTTGTATCCTGAATCATATCATGGATCTGTTATGAACGAGTAAAATGAATAGTATGTGACTATCTATGGAATGTTAATAGATCAGCTGCTCACTATTTTGCTCTCTTCTCCTCTCAGAAGAGCAGTCTTGTAGTCTTGTTCACTAATGCCTCCTGGAATGCTTTTGATGCCTTTGTAGAAGTCATTTTAAACTCAGTTGCAGAGGACCACTTTTCATGAAAACATGACCTGAAAGGACCTTGTGGCTCACAGGACCTATGTCATTGCCTATAGTCTACTGTATGGGATATCAGAGCAGTCGTACACTTCTGTGACTTCTTTACAGATAGAAAAAGTCCTCACCACTCTCTGTGTAAAGAACTTCCCCCTGACATCCAATCTAAACCTTCCCTCCTTGAGCTTAAAATCATTCCCCCCTGTCCTACTACTGTCTATAAAATACAGAGGAAATTACTTGTGTATAAATTATTTGAACAGGCAAGTTTCATACTTCTAATAAAGCGTAAGTCAGCCAGAAAGAGCTAATTTAGTTTTTCATAAAAGAAACAGTCTGAATTATTTTCCTATATAATTAACACTGTTTGCTGCTTTAAGTGGAGAGATCAGAGTTGTCCAAAGCAGTTCATACTATGGCAGCTTTTCTTTGCAGCAAACAAGTGAAGAGTATTTCTGAGGATGTGTATTTGGTTGACAGAAAGCATATTGGAATTGCTAACACGCAAGGCTGTTTACCAGCAAGGCACTTATTCTTCCACATCAGAGACCTGCAATGACAGAAGTTGCCTTCTGATGGCTTTTGATTCTCTCTTCAAAACGTCTCGTCCTTTAAACAGAGAATCCTGCTTTGGCATAATTAAAGTCAGGGGCCCTTTGTCCCATTGCAGTCTCATTTGCAAATGTCATCTTTTCTGGTCTAGCCCTAAGAACCACAAGCGAAGCAATGTACAGAAATTAAAATTTCTGTCTCTCTTGTAATATCTAGAGAATATGCTACTACTTGGTTTTAACCATTCGGTCCAAGATTTAGAGTCCACTGAAGTCACTGGAAGCCTGTGATTGCCAAAACCTCCTACCAGCTTCAGCATGTCTTGGAGCAGGCCTGTAAGGGGCACAGAACTCCTGGGAAATAGCTCTCCTTATCTGAAAGAAAGCTGGTGAAACAAGAAAGCATCATGCAACCAGCTGTACCTCCCTGCACAACTGCTGCGCTGTGGCTTTAGAGGCCTTCACCAATTAACAGGAACAGGGAAGATGAGGTTAGGTCTTTACTTTTTATCTCGTATGGCTCAGCTCAATAGTAATTAGCCTCTGCTTCTGTGGGCCTCCTGCGCGCCACAGCTGCAGCAGCCAAACCTTACTCCATAGAAAAATTAGACAATTATCTCTGGGAATTTATTTCCCAGTAAGAGTATTCACATCTCACTTCTCCCCAGTACTTCATCACCAAGATGCGCAGCTGTTGAAGGACTATCCAGATCTCAGTCCAATCTACTGTCATGTTCAATAGCTCATCACTGCAAGAGTTTCGTAAATGTACATTTTCCAGATCTATCTTCAGTCCTTGTTTTCTCCGGTAATCCCTGCCTGGAATCACAAATTAAAAAATACCTATAAAAATCCCCTTATTTAGTTCAAAATAATTAGCAAAAAGACATTTCTTGTTAGAGGAAATGCCCTTCCAGTGCAGCTGTCTCAGAAAGCAAGCAATGCCTGGGCAGTGGGCACTGCAGGAATGAGAAATGTTACCCCTGATTCATACTGTCCTGCTCGGAGCATCATGAACTCGCCATCTGTGATGGGCACTGTTAGTGCAAAGCATGCCTTTTTTAAGGAAGTGAACAAACACTGATGAAATGAAAACCTGATGATCTGCTCCATTTTCCATCTGTATTTCCTTCTAGAAATCTTGAACTTGTGTTCTTCAGCTTCCTCATTTGAAGAATCTCCTCTTTCAACAGCCATTTCCATCCAGAGTTACTAGTGTTTCATGTATCATCTAGAGTGCTTTGCCTAATGTTTTCAAAACCAGCTGCAAAGTATAAATCTCTGGCACCTCATATTTTTAAATTACTGTATCTGCTTCCCTACCAGTTGTACAAAGTGCTTGAAAAAAACGGCATTTTCTCTACAGTGGAAAAACATTTTAGTTTCTGCTGAAATCCTCCAGGTTTGTTGATGTTCTGCTCAGCCTTACTGTCTTTTACTATCCTGTGTGATACTTGGATGGTAGCCAGGCACATATAAATTGCTCCCACTCATGCTCTTTCTGGCGGTTTTATGTGCCTTTCACTACTTTCTAGCAGATATTTGAGGCAGCAATTTATTCCCATCACTTTTTTTTTTTTTTTTCCTGCTTACTTTCTTTTCCCTTCTGAAAACTATTACATCTTCTTGCCTAGAGGTTTCCTTAGTGTTTGAGGATCGCTGTGGATGGATACGAGACTACAAGGACAAAACTGTGGCTTTTTCTTTATGCTTGGGGCAAGGAGTTTGAGGCCATAAAGAGGCTCCCACTGCCCTGTTTCCAAGCCTCATCCCATTCTGGAAGGACAGGCATCTTTCCATGAGGAACGCTTGCTTGCTTGCCATGCCAATGGGCAGAGTGGGCATGACTTTGAATTTGCCAGATCGTAGCTGCAAGCGCACATCTTCCCCTCAGGACATCTGGCTCAGTGCATGTGAGTCAGAGCAGAAAGAAGGTTTTTCATGCCAGATAAAAGGGATGGTACACATTACTTTTTGATTGGAAAATGCAAGAAAACTAAAGACCTTAAGTTGTGCTGCTCCTAGAAACATTTGGTTCTTGATTTTCTTCTGAGAACTTCAAATGTACTCCAAGTTTAATCTGAGTTTTGGACAAATCCATAACCTAATCTGTCTTCGATATGCTGATTTTTCATTATATTTTCACCTACAGTTTAGAAGGGCAGGAAAAGAAAAAAAAAAAAAAAAAAAAAATCACCATCATCAAATAACGCACAGAGTTTCTGTCCAAAGGCAGAAGAAAACGAGCATTCTGAACCTTCCTCTGCAGGTCCCTGGTCTTAAAGTCTGCTTTCACCCACCTTAGAAGAGTTTCTAATTTGCTGTGCATCACATAATTCCAGTGGCGATCCTGGTGAATGCCGTGTCATTGGAGCAGTGACAGAATAAAACTGCATCATGTTCCACTTCCACCCCTTGCCACAGAATGCAGCTGCTATGCACTTGCATCAGCAAAAATATCCGTGGGGCATTTTGTGGCCTGGTTGGTAATTGGACCCAAATGTAACAAAGAGGGCGTCAGTCAGTCCTGGCTTAGCGTAGTTTAGATCACTGCAAGGAGAGGGGATGTTTACTATAGCATATTGATATCATTAAGGCATGTTAGTAGCTTATAATGTTTTATAAAAACATGGACACAATAATAGCAACAAAAACCACAGAAGCTCAGTTCTGGGACTTAGTTCTCTGACCCAGCACATCTCTTTGAAATCTCATGCATCATGCATTCATTCAGGTACAAAATGACTATCAGAGCACATCCCACAGATGAGAATGAAGAGGGCTCATTTGTCATCCAGCTCTGACCTATTGCATTAAATTCCTAACACAACTCACAGGACTGTGAATCTCTGGTGTCTTCCTTGAAGTTACTGTCATGCTAATTAAGAAAAGTATCATTTTAATGCAGCATGTTTATCACGTGGCTTGTTGCAATTTTCTCATATGCTGATGCTAAAGAAACATTCCTTTTGTCTTTTAGGTTACACAGATGGACCAGAAACTGAACCTCATTACTGAGATGCTGCATCGTCTGGTTTCAAGTCATCAGGGGGATCAAGGGAACAACAGGTCATCTCAGAGAGGCAACAGCGTTAATTCAGATCTCTTCCTCCCAAATAACACCCTGCCAACCTACGAGCAACTGACCGTGCCGGGAAGAAATGAAGACGATATATCCTGATGTGATAAAAGGCTGGGTTGGTTGGGTTCTTCCCACCTTTCTCCTTTAAATGGAACTTGGAAGGAAATTCAGTTCATCAGCCATCCAAGAAAACACGTGACTGCAACATCTATACTACTAGTCTCAAATGCACTCTTCTAAAACCACTCATAATAACCCAAGGATTGACAGGCTGTGTTCTACCAGGCAAAACCTACCGAAGCTCCACATTGATTCTATTAATGAACAAAAATTATAGCAACTCATTATTGCTCAGAAAGACCGAAACAATGTAAAGACAGGCAAAATTGCAAAGATTTAGAGCTCCTTTAATAATAATAACAGTAATAATAATATTGTAATAATACTTGAACTTAGATGGGAAATCTGCATTTTGTTTATGAACCTGCAGATAGCAATATATTTCTACTACTAAGGTTTTTAAAACAAAATAGGATAACTTATGTTGTTTTTATTGTATAAATATACCACTAACATTCTTGCGAATGACAAACCACATGCTGAATGATTTTCTTTTGCTGTTTTATTTTAACGTTGCTACATAAACATTATCAGATAATGACCAGATTTTTTTAATCTGTTTTTCTTCAGGGAGGAACTAATACTTAATCTGGAACAATACTATTTATAGTGGAAAGCGCTATAGATTTTTTAAGATACCAGTTTTTAACAGGGAGACAGTAAAGTATTACATAGAAAAATGATTCTGCTTTCTAGAAAATTGTTGCCAAAGAATTTATATATAAACAGAAAACGCAGTGGTCTGAATGTACTTGTCCTGAAATAGCTTCTTAAAAAGAAGACCCACTACTTCTTAAATCTACTTCTTTTTTTTTTCTTTTCAGCTTATGCTATCCAAGAATAGTACAACAGTATAACGTGACTGGACTTGCAGGTCAAGTGCTTGAGCTGGCCACTTACTGAGCATCCATAATTCTCATAGGAATCATGGCTCCGGTTCAGGAAAGCATCTCTTATCCAGACAGCATATACAACAAATGTAATAGTTTCCTGAATAATTGAATGAGAAATTCTGCTCCCTACTAAAGTCATTAGGTATTCAGAAGTGCCAGCTCCAATCAAAAGGACGCAGGGCCTAACCTGCCAGCGACCTCAGCTCACATTATTGTTGCAATAAGAACAGCAGTGTTTGGCTTGGTGTGATTTTTCACGTGCACAACGTGAACAGGATTGGAGCTTTGCTTACTAAAGTTGAAATTCAACCCTTGCTGATAGTTAGCACCTCTACCATGCACACCCTTCCTTGAAAGTGGAACGTCCTTAAATTTGACAGTGTTGTAAAATGGAGGATTACAACATAGCTAATTAATGCTATGAAAGATTTCAGTGTTTGAAAGCACGGAGACATATATATACATATATATATATATATATATAAACTGATGCCCTAAAGCCTCATAATTTTGCTCAGCAGTTAGCATTAGCAATCTGTAGGATGTATAAGCAGTCTGAAATACTGATGTGTAATGAACTGAGATCGCAGGGAACCATCTCAGAGTATTGCTTATATGCTGAGCCTTGTTTTAATCATGAAACATTTCACCTCTTTCACTTGGACTGCAGAGGAAAGTATACTGTATTTATGTTACAATCATCTCGTCTTGCTGCTGTACAGTAGATACATGTTAAGGGTGTAGAAATGTATGGACATAAACAGGAATTATATCTGGGCATTACGTTTTATAGAAATCAAAATTATTGTGATGATTCTGAATATTTTTAAATGAGATTAACTGTGTAATTTCAGATTATTGTTCAATCTCTAATTTCCTAATAAAATACAGGACAAGATTACCACGTCTTCTGTTTATTCTACGATCCAGAAGCACAATATACACAGGAAAATTACTGGCTTTTCTTTTTTCTCTTAGGCTATTATGCAACACAGTACTATATAATGTCCTTGTGCTGGTGTGTTGGTTCATCTCTGTCCATGTGAACATCGCCATCACCAATGTTCTCAGAATAATCAGGTTTTGAAGTTCTGTCTGAGGCAAGTTGCTAGCAGGTTTGATTCCACATCTGGTCCGACAGAACCTTTCAAAAAGAGCACCAGGTTGGTGACCTGTGACTTCAAATCCAATGATTCATCTTGTTCTTAAAAAGAGATGATCCAAGCTGTCCTTGACCATTTCAAATCCGTTGTGCAGCTGCCCAAAGGGAGCCACCACAGCTACTCATCAAAGGCATGTCTTACTTCTCTGCCTGTCGAGTGGATTGGATTTGTCTCATCTGTTGGTGCTTCATACCTGAAAGACTTCTCTCAGAAGTAAGTATCTCAGTGTCTTTCTTCACAGTGCATTGTGGAATAAGGATAGCAGGAAGATGAGCTAAACAGTTTGATGCCTTCAAGCTGGACACACCCGCAGTAGCCATCATACAGTGAGTATGTTGTGATGGAACCTTGTTTGATGGTTGCTGTTCATGCAAATTGTCCAAAGCACGTAAGTGAATGTGTAGTAATTGGCTGTCAATTGTGTGTCTGCTCCACATCCAACACAATGGGACTTTAGTGACCGCAGTTATATAAATGCAGTGTAACATCTCTACAAATCTTTCATTATTCTGAGCCGGAGTGGTTTTGGAGCTGGAAGAGGCTGCTGCCACACTGATCATTAGAGTATGTTCCTTTTTAGATTCCCTTTCACAAAGTATCTTAGAAAAGTAGAAGAGTCTGGACATCACTCATTTTCATTTTTCTATAGGACTATCTATAGGACTATAGGACTTTCTATAGGCTTGTTTCAAATAACATCATTGGCCACATCATGCTCAGATACTAGCTGAGGCAGAAACAATTTGATGTCAGCAGATAAAATGGCCGTTTCACTGCAGCACGTTAATGGCTCTCGTGGCCAGCATACACCTCAGTGCTGATTTATCATCAGTCCAGGGGAAGGTGGAAGGATTCCAGAGCTCCCCCCACCGAGTTGGATAGATCTGGGCAAGGAACAAATTGAACTATAAAAAAAGTAAAATGTAGGAAGATTTTCTTTTCTGTGAGTTTAAAGGAGAAAAGGTAAAAACCGTTTTCAGCTAATCCTCACGTATCCTGCTGAGATGGGTATTATTGTTCTCATTTCACTGATGGGATGGTGGCTGGGAAGAGGAGGGGCAGGGGCAGAGAAGAAGAAAAGAAAAAAGATTAAGGGTCTGATGCAACTCCCATCTATGTCCCACTCCTGTGAATGTGTACTTATGTGCTTCATTTATGCACGGGAGTTGGGCTCTTGCCTTCAGTGGGACTACTCAGTCCACATGGACCAATATAAGCCTTTGCAAGTTCAAAATCTATTAAAGAAGGCCTCCCATAAGCTTAGTGGAAGCTGGAGTCAGATGTAGCTGTAGCACTGCTTTCCCTGTGGTCACAGAGACGTTTGAATTGCCAGTTTTGTTCCCTGTTTCTGTTTTCAGACCGTTGGCTTATACAACTCTCATGAGCCTCTCACAAGCCATGATAATATCGGAGGTATTTCTTTCTACTTTAGTGATGAAAGCTTTCCTTACCTACCACATGTGAACTCACACAATGAAATGTTCCCGCACAAAAGCAAATTCTTTTTAGATGCCCTGAAATTTCTTTTTAAATGGCTTGTAGAAAAGTTTGTCTCTTGGGCTCCCTGACCAGCAGCAGCTAAGATGAAGGAACATGGAGGGAAGCAAGTTCAAAATTAATAGAAGGAAAATAGCTGATACCCAGTCACTCAGTGATATTTACCTGAGTCCCAGCAAGGATTAAATGTAAGAACAAGAAGTCGCTGAGATGACCTTCAGAGGTCCCTTCCAACTCAAAGGATTCCATGAACCAAATATTTCTACAAATAGTGGCTTTTTCATGACTCGTGTGAGGGCTGACTTTGATGTCTAAGTGCAAATTCCAGCTGAAACTTCCTTCTGTGTTGCAGTGTTTTGCAGGTTTTTTTCCTGCATCACCCACCTGGCATCTGATGAGATGTGAATTCATGCCTTCCCATGGTAGGAACATTCGGACTGCATGGTGGTAGGGCCTCTCTCTACTACCTCAATGCAAATTTTCACCAAACAAGATGAACTTAGTGTTTTGTTGATCTAGAATGATAGAATCGTTTGATTTGGAAGGGACCCTTAAAGGCCATATGGTCCAACTCCCCTGCAATGAACATGAACACCTACAGTAGATCAGGTGCTCGGAATCCCATCTAGCCTGACCTTGAATGTCTCCAAGGACAGGGCTCCTGGCCATCTCTCTGAGCAAGCTGTTCTGGTGCCCTCTACGCTTCCGTCAAGTTCAGTTGAACTAGGCTGATGTGTTCAAAAGCCATTCAGGGGAGCCAAAACAAATACTGACTGCATTCACATTGTTTACACAAGAACCGGACTGAAAAATCCCCCCAGCCCTAAGCCAGAGATTTTGACCAGATAGTAGCCTCAGCTTCAGGGCACAAGGGCAACTGTAGTTCCTGAGGCTGAAAAAGGACTTGCAGAAGACTTTTTCTCAGGAGCCACCAGCTGCTGCAAAGCTTCGTGCACCTTGCCTATGGAGCAGCAACAGAAAGATGCTGGAAAACCGAGGAGTGCTTTCCCAGGGCAGCACGAGAATCCTCACATCACTCCTAATGACAGAGACCCAAAAGCCAATATGACAAAATGGTTGGCGCCACAACAAAGAAAATGCAGGTGCCGAATGGAAGCATTGTTCAACGTGTCCATGCACATTATTGTAATGCAGCATGTTGTCCAGTGAAAAGATGCCTACATGGCTGGCGAGGGAGCACTGCCAGGGAAGGGCTGGCCCCAGAGAAGCTGCATTGTCCGAGCCAGGCAGAAAGTTCACATAACTCCCACATTGGCTGGCAACTGCTGCCTACGGGGAACAGCTTACCAGCCTGACGTGAGGCATTATGCTCCCTGCCCATGGATTTGCACCTAAGAAGAACCGATGCATAAAGCCAGTCTCAAAATCATCTCGGAGCTCCGTTTTCTTCAGAGCTAGCATTGCTCTGGCGAACTGCCCAGGGATTTAGACTCAGCTAATCCAGACTTGGCTCTCCATGGCAGACACCCGTGGAACAAAGGAAAGAAAGCTTCCACGACCCTGTCAAGTTTCTGGTAAATCACTCAGCCAGGTGCAGAAAGTGGGATAGGCGGTCGCCAGCGAGCTTTCTTGGATCAGAGAGAGGCAAATCCCTGGAGAGGGGAACAGAAGAAGCTTTACAGATTTTCTTGCCATAATTTACCAAGTCTGTGTGCAGTGCTCCGAGCATGCAGTGCCTGTGCGTTTCACACAATCCTTCCAGAGAGCTGTGCTGAAGCACATTGCCCTGCCAGCGTGTGCTCCAAGAGTTGCTGGTGCACGCTGGTTGCTTGGTTTGTCCTCAAAGAGGGCACAGCTGTGCCCCGGATTGTCTCACGGATGAGCACAGGCACTGGACAGATTTTGATCATTTTTCTAAATTGCAATGAAGGAAATATTATTATTGATGTTATTCTTTTAGTAACTATCTAACTATTTTAATAACTATTTTTATTTCGACTCATTTAGGCAGGAGATTGCTTGGAGAGACATCATCTCCTTCATGTGAATTTTTAGTTATGAAGAGAGATATACACTGTCAATCTTGTAGAAAAAAAAAAAAAAAGAATAAGAAAGGAAAGGGAAAAGGAAAAAAAAGAGAGAAGAAAAAGAGTAAAAGAAAATCAAAGAGTAAGTTCTCTTTTAGTCCTGCTGTGTGTTATGTCCTTATACTGAGCATTAATTCAAAAAGATTAATACATTAGATATAGCTGTTACAAGAACTACCTGTGCTGCAAGCACCAGAAGCATGTAGGAAACAGTATGATTACATGCAGCTTGTGAGATGCTATCATCTACAACTGCTGTTTCACCACTGCCTAATAATTTGTTAGACCTGATGATTGCCCAATCAGGCTATTAACTGAGCTGCCTATACGGGGGAGCCTAAATATAAAATGTGGTTCAGATTTTACTCCTTATGTGGTGAGGCACTGGCACAGGCTGTCCAGAGAAGCTGTGGATGCACCATTCCTGGAGGTGTTCAAGGCTAGGCTGGAAGGGGCCCTGGGCAGGCTGATCTGGTCTAGCAGTTGGCAACCCAGCCCATGGCAGGCATTGGAACTAGATGATCTTTGAGGTCCCTTCCAACCCAATCCACTCTATGATCTTTGGCTCTTATTCTGCATGCAAATTTTTGCTTCGAGTCCACGCTTTTTACTTGATTTCCCTAGAGATTTCCCTCTCAATTAATCCAAACATTTCCTCTCCTTCGGTTCCATCTGGATATGGGTTTGCCAGGCAGAGGGAGGTGCTCTTGTAGGAATCATCAGGCAAAAGCTGATGCAAGTGCATGCAAGGCCTGATCCCACGCAACCGGAGGCACCGAGCCTTTCTGCTGACTCTGGTGACACTGGCAGCACGCTCACGTGCTGTTTTGTCATGCCCACACCTCTGCCTCACCTCGCAGACGGCTGAGTCACCGCTCCTTGGTGTTGTGTGGGCCGTGATTAATATTTCCTTCCTACACCCGTCATGCAGACTGCGATTTTCACTCTGGCTTTTTGTTTTCCTCCTTCCCCCCTTCCCTCTCCATGCTGAGACGGAGAACAATTCCTGGAAAGGACGGCTTCTTTCCCCCACGCTGCACAAACACCGCTCACGCCGTCAGGGAGGAGAGAGGGGACGTTCGGCAACATATGGTCGGGAGGGTTTGGGGGTTTTCAGATGGTGAATGACCAACGAGGTTTCAAAGGGGTTTTATTTATAAATGATAGACTCCTGAGAGAGAAATAATGGTTGTTCTGCCAAGCATAAAAGAAGCAATTCACCTGACATAAAACCCGGGGACAAAATTAGCTAAATTAAAGCGAGAGATGGCAACTGTAGTAAGTTTTTTTGTTGTTGTTGTTGTTGTTTTTTTTCTTTTCCTTCTGAATGGTGAATCATTTTAATTTTGTTTTCCCCTCCTTCCTTGGATGGAAGAAAAAAAAAAAGCAAAAGCAAAGTGGCTTGGGTCTGAAAGAACAGATGGTGCCCTGCTCGGCCCTGCAACGAGCTCTGCAGCGCGCATTCCTTTACTCTGTCCTCTCAGATAACTGAGTTATACAGCACACGACCATCTGGTGTATGACACATCTTGTGTCCCCCAAACAATGCCCCGGCAAACCTCTTCAGGGGAGAGGTTAGTTTCTAGGGTAACAGCAGCATGTGCAGCTCTGCGCCTTATTGAGATTCAGGCCTCCTCACTTGTCCCCATTCTTCTCCTTCCTATTGTTGTCACTTGAGCTTTTGCTGCTTGGTTACTCAGAGACTGACAATATCCATGAGTATTTTGTCCCCAGCCCCAAAACCATTGTCTCCAAATTTTGTTTCATTATTTATGTTTTCAATATCCAATGGTTGGCTGAAGCATCTGCTGTAGAGTGATAAGGCAAGTGCCTATTTAGGAGGGCTGTGCTGCTGCCTGACAACAATGCTTTGAATTATTCAGGTTGTGGTTGGACAAGTCTTTGCAAAAGCCAGGATATCCATGAAGCACTGAGGTGACTTTATTTATTTGCCTGCTTTTTTTTTTTTTTTTTTTTTTAGGTGCTTGCATCCTTTAAGCTGGACAAAAAAAGACAGACAATTTCTGGAGGAAGTAGGTCTG